TATTTCAAGTACTATAGACGTGTGCTTTAGAATGTACACACATTTTCACCATATGATTACGCCCTGAAAGTTTCATTAAGATTGTACGTCTAGAAATTAAATTATTCAACAAATAAATTCTTATAATGTTGCCCACACTACAGCGCAGCCCAAGTGCAGTCTTACTGCGCAGTTAGCAGAGCGCGTTCTACTGCGTGCGTGTGTATGTATGTGTGTCGAAAAGAAGTGCAGACTGATTAGAACATCAGATTAGAGGATTCAGGGTATCTCTTAGTCGAGCAGGCTCGACTAAAGTCTTTTTTTTTTTTTTTTTTTTTTTTTTTTTTTTTTTTGTAATCATATAAAATCAGCCTTTCAATCTCGACCAATTTGAATTGAATTGTTACCAAACAAGAAACTGTCAGCGCATAGAGAAATATACTCGACCAAACAGTGCAAACATCTTGACAAATTGAGAGAACTCCAAAACGTGTTTTTAGATACTTTTACAGTCTTGCTGCAGTAAAGCGCAAAAAAGGTTTTGCAATTAACAAAAACAAAGCAATGTAATTCATTTCTAGATCAACAATTTTACAAATATACACATTAATTGAAAAAATTTTCTTTAAAAAAAATATGTTTTTATATAAAAATATCCAGAGGATATGTTATACAACTCAAAAAAATTAAATGCTAGTATACCTTAAGCATCCTATCCATATCTTGTCGAATGACTCCGCCAAGAGAATATCCTATTCACACTTACCGACTCGCTTCATTTAATGTCAATCTTAATATATATTTCCTCGGATAAATATAGTATATTTTTACATCTTATTGTCCACAAGGCAACCTGGTACCATCATTTGCCGATGCAAAATATTAGTAAGTTGAATTTTATATAAATGAATAGAGAGAAAATAGCAGGTAAATTTAGTTGTTAACGGAATGATAAGATTCTATTGGTTTTATGTACCATGTCAGGGTTGCATTTTATACGTTTACCATGTGACCGTTCACCATTCGTGCATACGGCTCAGGACAAAACAAATATACTCCCATTTTATTAGATTGTAATTTAGGCAAAACTTTGATGTTTCATAATCTTAGGTATAAATAAAAGGCAAAAGTGACGGGCATATGAACAAAAAAGTCACTGAAAATCATCTTTTGGGATTGACTAAGAACTTCATATTCTCGCGTACTGTTGGCGAGACGATGTGTTATAGTTTTCAATTAATTTTATATTTCAGGTCACAGTGGAGTAAATCAATTGGGTGGAGTCTTTGTTGGAGGAAGGCCATTACCAGACTCGACACGCCAGAAAATAGTTGAGCTCGCCCACTCCGGAGCTCGACCATGTGATATTTCGCGAATCCTGCAAGTTTCCAATGGGTGTGTTAGCAAAATTTTAGGCAGGTAAGTACTGAATATTCCAATTTATATAACATTTTAAGTATTTCAAATGAGGACTTATGAATCTTACCGCCTTGACGACTGACTACACTGTTAAATCTAGATCGTCTATACTGTTAAAGCTAGAACGCTGAAATTTTGCACGTGAGATAATGTTACCATTGTATAAGAGCGAAAATGATATGTCCTAATAAGGCAAAAGAAAATCGGATCTGAACATATAGTGATTTTTCAAATTCCGCTATATTTAAAGCATAATTAACCAGAAATCTGAAAATTGGATACTCGGGCTTGATTAAAATTGATTAAGCCATGTCCATTCGTCGGTTTGTCCGTATGCTTGTACGCGTCGATATTAGATGTAAGAAAAAAGACTTGTAAGACCGTCTATTGCAATTACGTCGTTGGTCTCTCCAAATTATATATATAAATTCATAATTCAGCTCCACCCCATGTTCACCCCTTCAATAAAGTTTGCAAAAAGCGAATATTCGAATATTGGAGACCTATGCTTTTGCAAATGCACGCAGTAATATTATCTCGATCTGAATATTATATGTAGTAAGTCCAACTACGAAAACCAATTAGTTATTAAAATTAAATTAATTTCTTGTCATATATATGTATATATACATATGTATATGTCTATTTTAGATATTACGAAACAGGAAGTATTCGACCTCGTGCGATTGGAGGTTCCAAGCCACGTGTTGCCACCGCAGAAGTTGTTAGCAAAATCTCGCAATACAAACGGGAATGTCCTAGCATATTTGCATGGGAGATCCGTGATAGATTATTACAGGAGAATGTGTGTACAAATGATAACATTCCAAGTGTAAGTATACTTTTGGACATTTCTTACACCCTTACTGCACAAGTATAATTATATAAAAATACATTATTTATGTACATACTTATGTACAGTTTGACACGAAAGTGTTTTCACATGGGAAACAAATTATATTTTTGTTCTTTGACATTAAAAAAAAACTACTAAATGTGATATTTCAAATGTTTTTAAAAATTACATTATGTTTTTATACTCTGAACCCATTGAACCCCATTGAAAATGGGAAATCAGGGTATAATGGTTTTGTTAAAAGTATGTAACAGGCAGAAGGCGGCGTGGCAGACCCCACAAAGTATATATATTCTTAATCAGGGTGACGAGGTAAGTCGATTTGGCCCTGTCCGTCTGTCTGTCCGTCCGTCTGTCCGTATGTATGAACGCGTCGATCTCAGAAGATATAAGAGCTAGAGACTTGAAATTTTTTCTAGGTCCGTGTGTATCACGCGCATATCAAGTTTTATAGTATATCGATAACTACTCCCGATATTTTATTATCGATCAAAAACCTTATCGAAAGCTAGTTATTTAATTATATCTCTTACTCCTTTAGAGCTAGAGTCTCCTAATTTTATATGTAGACTTATATGTATTTTATATAATCTCGGTTTTTGTTGTAATTTACCCCCCACCCTTATATCCACCCCTTCACCCTCACCTTTGTAAAAGGCGTATTTCAAGTACTAGAGACTTGTATTTTCGAATGTACATACATTTTTACCATATGATTACGCTCTAAAAGTTTCAGTAAGATTGTACATATAGAAATTAAATTATTCAACAAATAAATTCTTATAATGTTGCCCACACTGCAGCGCTGCCCAAGTGCAGTCGCTGCTTACTGCGCAGTTAGCAGAGCGCGTTCTAATACGTGCGTGTGTATATATGTGGGCCGAAAAGAAGTGCAGAGTGATTAGAATATAAGATTAGAGGGTTCAGGGTATCTCCTAGTCGAGCAGTCTCGACTAGAGTTTTCTTACTTGTTTTCAATTCGTTGTCTTACAAAATTTTTTTATTTAATTTAAAAACCAATAATATAGGCTTTAAAAAGCATAACAACAAAAAAAGATATTCAAATTCAACTACCATGAAAGTGTTTGCACAAAAATAAAGTATTCAAAACAAATCAATATTAACTATATTAAGTATCAATATTAGTATTTAGTAGTAGTAGTAGAAGCGGTCATTGAAGCCAATGAAACTTTTAGAACTATTGTAATGAGACTTTCAGAAAGTGATGACATTATGTCATAATGAACAAATGAAATATATTCCAAAGTACTTTAAATACGCCATTTACAATTTGGTGTCAAAGGGGGCGTAGTATCCAATATCTATAAACCTGAACCCATTTTCAATGGGAAATCAGGGTATAATGGTTTTGTTGAAATGTATGTAAAAGGCAGAAGGAGGCGTGGCAGACCCCACAAAGTATATATTCTTGATCAGGGTGACGAGCTGAGTCGATTTGGCCCTGTCCGTCTGTCTGTACGTCCGTCCGTCCGTCTGTCCGTGTGTTTGAACGCGTCGATTTCCGAAGAGCTAGAGACTTGATTTTTTTTAAATGACCGTATATACAGAGCGGATGTCGAGTTTGCTTTTAAAATTCGATAAATCATCCCGTTATGTTTTTATCGAATAAAATCATTCAAGTTCACGTCAGATGCCACTACAGCTAATTGTGAATGATATTTAATTTTTTTTAATTTCTGAAATATTCAATATATTTTTATATTTTATTAAGTGAGTTTTGTATTTCATTTATATTTTTAAATACATCGAAATTGAAATTTTAGCCATAGTAAATGGGCATTTTTATTAGTTGGGTTCAGGGTAGTATCTAGTCGAGCACTCTCGACTAGAGTTTTCTTACTTGTTAAAATGTAGGTCCTTCTATATCACGCGCATAAAGAATCTTTCTCCAAAAATCGACAACTACCCTCGATATATGGTTTTCAATTAAAAACCCTATCGAAGTTAGAATTAGTTATTTAATTATATCTCCTACATCTTTAACTAGGGTCTCCAAATTTTCAATGTAGATTTATATGTATATTATAGATTTGAGATTTTTGTTATAATTTACCTCTCACCCCAATAGCAATCCCCTTCTTCTTACCTTTGTAAAAGGCGTATTTCAAGTACTAGAGACTTGTGCTTTGGCAAACAATTGCATTTCAATGTGATAATCATGATCTGAAATAAGAGTCTATCCACAAGAAAAATTATGAAACAATTAATTTAGTAAGCTCACACTGCAGCCAATGCGTGTTTATACGTGCGTACGTGTGTGTGTATGTGTGCATTTGCGAATAATTATTGAAATATTATATAATTATTATTATTAATATTAAATATTAGTTGAAGGGATCAGGGGATCACGTAGTCGAGCTTATTATATAAAGTTGCCTACACCGCAGCCCAAGCGAGGTTAGCAGATGGTTTTTGCAGGGCTCAGGGTATCTACTAGTCGGGCAGACTCAACTAGAGCAGTCTTAATTATTTCAGTTAAGGCCCAAAGCAAATTAAACAACTTTGCATATTTGGATATCTGTTGAATGTTCTAAAAAATTCAATCCATTGTGATTCAAGAATTCTCAGTTAAATTTTAGATATATGTATATACATATGTATATTTATATGTATCTTTAATATTTGCTGAAGTTAAAGGAATTGGTCGATATGTCAAGTTTTCAAGTATTTTCTAATGATTTAAGTGCCACATTACTTTTGCTATTTTATTTTACTCGCTATGTGAATTTATTTGGCAAGCTTGACGCCATTTTTGTTTTGTTTTTTTTTTTCTGCCGTTCTTTTTATCTAGTTAGCAGTTTATTGTTTATTAAGTATGCCAAAAAAGGAATAGCGAAGAAAGCAAATGAATTGTGACAACGATGCCGATGGCCTGCGCTGTACTCTGCCTCATTGACAGTTGTGTGGAAAATGTGCTCATTCAAATGGAAGGGAAAATCTTTTATGCACATTAAGCGCCAAAAAGGGAAATCAGTGCTAGAAAAAGTATGAAAAACGTACAATATTAAATAAATACGGCCCAGCCCGTCACCACAAAGCGTAAGGCGTTGAAATTCACGCGCGAGGGAAAGTCCGATTCTTCCTTTTATGCTGGAAACAGAAACAGAAACGGAATCGACGCATTGGTGGCTACAGGGACGGATTGAGAGCAGAGCCATAAAAAATCATTGAGGGGTGAAAGCGTTAGTGTTTGGCAGTTAGAAATTAAATTGCTGGATGTTAGCCGCACGCTCTAATTTGTTCCGATGGGCCAAGGGATTCGATGCAGCAAGCGTCTGAACATAGGTAAACAACTTTTGTTGAAGTTTCTTATATTTAGTTGTTCAATAGCTTATATTTCGATTAGTTTTGTAATAACAAATGAAATAAGTAATAATGTATGCTGATCGTCTTTTAGCCGAAGCTTTTGTATCTCCATGTCCGTATCTATTGATGGGCAAGCATTGTTTGAATCTGAATTGTGGCTGGGGTATCCGAATACATATTAAAAGTATAAATATATGGATGTGTATATGTGTATGAATTTTATTTGTGTGTACAATGCAATCGGGGATGGCGTTCATTTTATTTTTAAAATAAGTTTTTATACAAGCATTCGCTTTCGTTCCCTCGAAAGGACATGTCTGCCTAATTTTTCCAGTCAACTGCACTTTTCCCTGTTGTTCTCACTCGCTCATTTATATGTTTTGCGCGTTTGTTCTTTCTTTCGTTCGTTTCGTTTTCGCTGTTGCCTTTTGAATTCATTTCAAAAGCGCTGTCATGCGCAGGCTTTGCCCTAATATAACAATAGAAAAACAATACAGCAGTAATGTATGACTAGTTGATACTCTAATGGACGCTCGCAAAGACCTATTTCAGATATTCCAATATTATTCTCTTCTCCTAGTGAACCGAAATGAATTCTACAAATTTCGAAGAGCAGCTAATCGGTCATAAAAGAATAAAGTTTTCTTTTGTGAATGGTTTACATAAACTTTTATCCAATATATAAAGGCTCTGGCTTATGATCTACAAATCCGAGATAATTAAAAAATTGATTTAGGAACTGAAAACTTTGAGCTAAACAAAACTGCATATATTAGCGTTCGATTTCTAAACTCTCTAAGTTTTCAGTGATTACAGATCTTAACAGTTTATCCAGCTAACAACTATCAATCATATGACGAACTGTACAACTAAATATAATCTAATAATTAAGTGTAATAAACTAGAAGTACATATGTCAATATGCGATATTTTATTCTTGACTGAAGTTTATTTTTTGATGTTTTTATCTCCTAGGTATCTTCGATCAACAGAGTTTTGAGGAACTTAGCAGCGCAAAAGGAGCAGCAAAGTTCGGGAACAAGTAGCTCCAACACAAACATAAATCCTAATCCTAGCACGAGCCAAGGCAATGCTAACAGCAACGTTAATAGCAACAATAATGGTAATAGTATGAGTGGCAAAAGTGGTGTAAGTGTTGGCGTTGGCGCTAGCACCACAAGCAACACAAATGATCTAATACAAACAGCAACACCGTTGAATTCTTCGGAGAGTGGAAGAGCTAGCAATTCGGGTGAGGGCAGTGAACAGGAGTCCATTTATGAGAAGATACGCTTGTTGAACACCCAACATGTGCCGACGCTTGATCCGCCCTTGTCGACACCAGCTGCGCCTCCAGTTATTCACGAACAACTGATGACAAGTGTACCCAGTCATTTTAGTCCGCATCCGATCCACACACATAGCCAGCACCAGCAGCAACATAACCAGCACCAACAGCAGAGTTGGCAGTCGCGACATTATCCATCTGGGTCCTGGTATACGGCTCCTTTGAATGGCAGTGAAATGGCTTCATCAACAGGAGTGATATCGGTGACGGGGTATTGCAATGGAGGCACGTCAACTGCTCCAACTCTGCTTCCTGGACATCCCTTGACTCCGCCAAGTGATCTCATCAACATTGGTGGCCCAACTGTTCGCTTGGATAATTGTTCTATTACAGGAGTCGATGAAGTTATGCTCAAAAAGGGTAAGCAATAGATCCAAATCGAATTATTTAAAATATTTATTTTTAAGAATAAGTAAGAACGTTGCAGTCAGGCGTTACCAGAATACTCCTTCACAAGCCAAACGGTATCAACCCGAGTACATAGTAAAATTTTTAACAACAAAAAGAAGTGCATGATCCCATTAAATTTGAGAAATCATCGATAGCTGTTCCCTTTTATATCTAGTATATCTTTGGAGCTAGGATCTTCAAATTACACGTATAATTTGTACAATTTTATTTGTTATAATATTTTGGATACCGGCTCCAAGGTAGTAGCAGATCTCCATTTTCCATCGTTTATTCTATGCGTAGAGACAATAGCGCGCCTTCTAGCATATTCTAAGAATTTCGATTAAATTTTGGATTTTCTAGCCGTTACTGTAGTTTTCGTAGATGACGCTCTGCTCTTTTCGAGCAATACCTATTTCTACCCTAACCCATTGAATATGGGAAATCAGGGTACAATGGTTTTGTGAAAAGTATGTAACAGGTAGAAGAAGGCGTGGCAGATCCTACAAAGTATATATATTCTTGATCAGGGCGGCGAGCTGAGTTGATTTTGCCCTGTCCGTCTCTCTGTCTGTCCGTCCGGCCGTCTGTCCGTTTGAACGCGTCGATTTAAGAAGATACAAGAGCGAGAGACCTCTCTTTTTGTTTTTAAATATACCACGCTGATATCGAGTTTTGCTTCAAAAATCGATAACTCATCCCGTTATTTTGTATCGATAAAAAACCTTGTCAAAATCAGTTTTAAAATTATGTCTTCTACATCTTGAAAGCTAGGGTCTCAAAATTTTAAATGCAGACTTCTATGCATTTTATACAATTTCGGCTTTTGTTAAAATTTACCCACCCTTATATCCACTCCTCATCCACATCTTTTTAAGAAGCGTATTTCAAATACTAGAGACTTGTGCTTTAGCAAATGCATGCATATCCATGTTATAATCATTATCTGATCATGAAGTTTCATGAAGATCGTATGTTCACAAGGAAAGTTATTAAAATATTAATTTCTCATAGTAAGCGCACACTGCAGCCCATGCGTGTTTATGCGTGGGTGCTTGTGTGTGTATGCGTTTGTGTATGTGTGTGTATAAATATGTGTGTGTGTGTGTGTGTGTTTTGTGTGTGTTTTGTATAAGTAAGAAGACGCGAAAAATGATTGAAATAGCTATTGCTCGAAAGGTTCAGGGGATCTCGTAGTCGAGCATTCTCGACTAAAGCTTTCTTACGTGTTTTTTATATGTCCGTATATAAAGCGGGGATATCGAGTTTATCACCAAAAATCGATAACTCATCCCGTAATTTGTTTTCATACCCTGAACCCATTGAAAATGGGAAAACTGGGTGCAATGGTTATGTGAAAAGTATGTACCAGTTGGAAGGAAGGCAGAAGGAATCGTCGCAGATCCCACAAAGTATATACGTATATTCTTTATCAGGACGACGAGCTGAGTCGATATAGCCCTGTCCGTCTGTCCGTTGGACGGACGGACGGTCCGTATGAGCAAGCCGATTTCAGAAGATATAAGAGCTAGAGAGCTGAAATTTGGCAGTACAAGTTTATCATATTTTTTCCATAACTGATCCGATAACTTTTTGATCGAGAATAATAAAAAAATCGACTTTGTTTTTTCAGCCTAATTTGAACACTTTTAGACCTGGAGACTTCAAATTTGCGTTGTATGTATATAAAGTTGATGGATACAAAGAAGTAATTTACAGATTTTGGATATCACCCCCTTCGCCCCCAATTCGTAAAAAACGCACTTCAAGTACTAGAGACTTGTGCTTTGGAATGTACATACATTTGAACATTATGATTACGATCTGGGAGTTTCATTAAGATTGTACGTCTAGAAATTAAATCAACAAATAAATTCGTAAAATATTGCCCACATTGCAGCGCAGCCCAAGCGCAGTCGCTGCTTACTGCGCCGTTAGCAGAGCGCGTTGTTATGCGTGCGTCTGGATGCATGTGTGTGTATGTGTGCATAGAAGAAGTGCAGAATGATTAGAATATCTGCTTGGAGGGTTCAGGGTATCTCCTAGTCGAGCAGTCCCGACTAGAGCCTTCTTACTTTTTTTTATGGTAAAAACCCTTATCGAAAATTAGTTGAAAAATTATGTCTCCTACATCTTTAAAGCTAGTCTCAAAATTTTAAATGTATACTTATATGCATTTTATGCAATTTCGGTTTTTGTTAAAATTTACCCCCCAGCTCTATATCCACCCACTCACACCTAAGTTTGTAAAAGGCGTATTTCAAATACTAGTACTTGTGCTTTGGCAAGTGCAAAATTTCAGTATTCTAGCTCTAAAACGCTAATAGATATAGTGTTTTGATATATCCGCCAAAGTTTTTTGATCTTGGGTGCGTTGTATATAAAGTTAATGAACACAAAGAGTTTTACAATTTCTAAATCTTCAGCTTCAATAGCGCCGAAAAAAGTGTGTTCATATGGACAGACGGACGTACGGACGAAAGTGCACAATGAAAAGAAGCGAAGAATTATTGAAATAGTTCCTCGAATGGTACAGGAGATCCCGTAGTCGAGCGGTCTCGACTAAAGCTTTCTTAATAGTTTGGTGATTTTATAACTGTAGGCTTTGCCAATATATTATTATAAAACCAGTACGAAGAACAAAGCTTATTTAACTTTTTATTATTATGTTAAAAAATCTGAAATTTATATGTTTGTAGCCTTAGTGAAACATGAAACTTGTAAAAGCGGAAAGTTTTGCGAGACCAATCAAGCTCTGGACGTTCGGTCACGTACCTCGACTATTTACGCACGCACGGCAGGTTTATTGTCCTTATCGAATTGTCGAGGATACAGACTGATAAATGCAAAACACAAACAGAAAATTCGGAGAGAGGTACAGGTAGACATAAGGACTGAAGAGCATCTAGAAGATATTCCAAGTCAATCGTGCGCGTTTTGGGCTAAATTGATTTATGGCTAGTCTCTAGGTTGCTGTTCTTATAATTTTGCTTCTTCTAAAAATCAGCTATATACTGAGCACTGTCGGTCAGGCTGAAAGCCGGAGTTGCAGGTGAAATGCGGTGTGCTACTTTTAAAATATATAAACATCGCTGTGGCCAAATGTACTTAAATGCAAATTTACTTTGAAAAACATTGCATAACATTTTTGTGCGACTTGAGATTTTATATTTTGGATCTTGAGAGTGATTACTGCCGACGGCATAGCAGGTAAAATATAATTTGCCGACATTTAACAATGATCTAATTAGTTTAACCATATACGCCCCAAAGTTTCTGAAAATAAAATCTGTGCCTGAAGTCCGTCCGCGTGTTGGCCTTAACTGTTTGGGTGTGCCAAACAAAGGAGAAGTAACTGTAACAGTAGCCCGTTTAATCTGCAGCCTCAGGCAAAGGGAATTGCTTTCGTTCCTGACAGGCAGACAGACAAGCAGGCTAACCCCTAACCGGGAGTAGTTCCTTTAATGCGATTTGCAGACTCATTTTACAGGCGATGACACTTCATTAAACGCCAAACTCGTGGGGGTGGCAGCGGTGACAGCGGTGACAGCGGTTGGGGATAGGGCGATATGGTTACGAGTGTTGATGGGGTGCATAAATATAGAAAGCGCAAAATACATATTTATAAAATCGTATCTGGCAAACCTCATGCTCTACTCCATTTGAGCCTTATCTGCTTTGTCTTTACCATATTTAACTATGGAAGAGTGTCTCTCTGTCGCGCTGTTGGCCTACCCTATTCACCCATGTAACTTCCCATCGTTGAGGAGTGCTGTATTTGTTATTGTAGTTTGTGTTCGGCTATCTTTATCATGTACCGTATACCCTACCCCATGGCTATGCCGTTGTTCAGATTCTTGTTGCTGTTGTTGTTGTGCTGTCAGTACATTGCAGTTTGCTAGCCAAGTGACGTGTGCTCTGGACTGGACCTAAGTCTGGACCTGCGGCATGTCTCAGAGCTATCAACATCTATTTGCTTTGTCACATTCACTCACATTTTATACCGGTTTCACACACACACAGATGGCGAGATAGACAGACCGAAAGACAGTCAGAGAGAGAGAGACAGAGGGAGGGAGTGAGAGAGAGAGAGAGAGAGAGACCGCTGTATTTGGTATATGAAAACTGACAAGCCGAGATTCAAATGCTGCTGCCTGCGGCGTTTTAGATGTGGCTGTCGATGGGGCTTCAAGTAGTACTTGATGTGACAGTAACAATGCTCTGAATTTTATGATTTACTTCAATTCAATACTGGCGTCTGTATGCAATATATCAGTTTGTATACCCTGAACCCATTTCCAATGGGGAATCATTGTGAATGTTTTTGTGAAAAGCATGTTACAGGCAGAAAGAATCATCGCAGTCCCCATAAATTATATAAATTCTTAATCAGGGTGACCAGCTGAGTCGATATATCCCTGACCGTCTGTCCGTCCGTCCGCATGAACGCCGAGATCTCCGAAGGTATAGAGCTAGATAGATGAAATTTTGCATGCATAGACGTGTATACCATACGTAGTGTAAGTTTATTATATTTTTTCGATAACTCATCCGATAACTTTTTTATCGAGAATAATCGACAGAATGATTTGGTTGTTTAGGACATAGAGTTTTCAGATTTACTTCGTATATACATCTTATGGATATACAGATTTAATAATTTATAGATTTCGGATAACAATTTGTAGAATAATGTATTTCAAGTACTTGAGACTTGTGTTTTGGAATGAGTAATCTCGTTCAGAAAGTTTCATGAAGATAGTACCAATACAAGAAAAATTATTCAACAAATATATTCTCATACCATTACCCATACTGCAACGCTGCTCTAGCGCAGTCGTTGCTTACTGTCATCTAGCAGAGCCCGTGCTTATACGTACGTGTGGATGTACAAATACATGTATGTGTGCAAAAAAGAAGTGCATAATGATTAGAGTATCAGCTTAGAGAGCTCAGGGTATCTCGTAGTCTAGCTGTCTCGACTAGAGCATTCTTTTTTTGTTATACACACAATCGGTAGACGATTGCTTTTCCAAATAAGTTTGCATAAATTAGCTTTTAACTCGCTTATATATTTACATTAATACTAATAAGTAATATGTATCATAGTCAAAGTGAAAGTATAATGTAACATTAACAATACAATGTTTAAATTATCTTTTAGAGCTCGATGGACATCAATCAGACGAAACAGGTTCTGGCGAGGGAGAGAACTCAAACGGCTGCGCGTCTAATTTAGGTGCGACCGAGGATGACCAGGCCAGATTAATTTTGAAGAGAAAACTGCAAAGAAACCGAACATCGTTTACAAATGAGCAGATTGATAGTCTAGAAAAAGGTATATACATATACATACATATATACATCCACATATACATCCACATATTTATATATGTATATTGTACATCCATTTATAGTTTAACGCTCCCACACTAGAGTACTAGTGATTAAGAGCGCTGAGTTGGGTTCTCACGAATATAAATAACTTTGTGATCAATGAACTTTGTGAGAAATGAAGAAATATATGTTATATAATTTAGTAACTAAACTCTTTCTTGTCCGAATATAAACTGAGCTATATCAGTTCTACTGGTTGTGTTCTCTCCTTGCATGTCTGACTGGATTCTCCAGATTCCTTAGATTGTCGATAGTCTTAACTGCTCTCCATCTAAAAACCTGCGTCCCGCAGTTCAGATACTTCTCTCTTCTTTTTGTTTTTATACCCTGAACCCATTGAAAATGGGAAATCAGGGTATAATGGTTTTGTTAAAATGTATGTAACAAGCAGAAGGAGGCGTGGCAGACCGTTTGTCCGTCTGTCCGTCCGTCCGTCTGTCCGTATGTTTGAACGCGTCGATTTCCGAAGATATAAGAGCTAGAGACTTGAATTTTTTTTTAACATGACCGTTTATACAGCGCGGACGTCGAGTTTGCTTTTAAAATTCGATAAATCATCCCGTTATGTTTTTATCAAGTAAAAACATTCAAGTTCAAATCAGATGCCACTATAGCTAATTGTGAATGATTTTT